ATCACCTCCTATGAACCTAGATGATTGCAGCATGCTGTGATACTGGGTATGGTGTATCACAGGTTGTAAGTTATAAAGCCAAGTGTGTCTTGGTGTTATATCAATTATGACTCCTGTGCCTTTGTGTCCTCAGAGTCTCACTCTCCAAAGAGTCCTGTCAATAATTCACTGTGTTAGAATGTCTCATCTGTATTTGTATATGAAGGCCCTTTATTTTGAACATTATTTAAGCCCTAGGTTGAATTTTTGTTTTTGTACAGGATAGAAAACAGATGAACACATATTATCAGATGGTCTCTGTGAAGCTTTTGTACAAATAATGCACGCTACAGATGCTTATGGTCTTGAATCATTAGCATAACATATGTTCCTGCTCCAAAATGGCAAATGTGCCTCTGTTCTGAAATAGCTTGTGCCTCAGCACACATGCTTCTCTCTTACTCTCAGGGTCTGGCTGTGGCAGATGTACAAAGACTTCCACGCCAATTCGACGCCGATTGCTCTTGCCTGACCCAGACAGAACTGTTTAGAGTGAGTGCATTATTTTTGTCACTATTGTGGCCACCATTGTTCTTTCCTCATCATCATTACCAATAAGCACTGTTTATCAAGAGCCGTCATGTGCATCTCACTGTGACAGACACCATGCAAATCAAATGGCACCAATGATCCCTTGAAGGTCAGAGCGCAGGCACAGAAGCAAACAGCAATGGGCAACACATTCCTGCTGTTTCAGGATGGGAGACAGGGTGCATGATGGGATGGGATTTGAGGATGATGGGGTGGCAGCTGGGCAGGGAATGAGGGCATGTGGGGTGTTGAGAGGGGGTGAGGCTAAGCGGGCATCATTGTGAATCTCAGAAGTTCATTGGCTGAGAAGTGTGTGCAGAGCAGGAGATTGGTAGAGCTAGGGAGAAAGGTGTCGGGGAGAGCAGGATGCAGGGAGAGAAGGAAGGAAAGAAAAAAAGAGACAGAGAGATACAGGTACAGTATAGAGACCGATAAATGTAGACATGAAGAGACAGACAGAAACAGAGAGAGAGAGAGAGAGAGAGAGAGAGAGAGAGAGAGAGAAAGAGATGGGGAGAGGGAGAGGCAGAGAAAAAGACACAGCGGAGAGACAGAAGAAGACAGATGAAGGACAGACAGACAGAGAGACAAAGAGAGAACAGAGACAGAAGATACAGAGAGAGACAGACAGAGAAATGTATAGAGAGACCCAGGGAGACAGACTCAGACAGAGGGAGATGGGGATGGACAAAGCGGGTGAGAGGGAAACGCTAAGCCCTCAGCCGCCTGCTTTCCATCATGCCCTTCTGTCCGTCTGTTTACTTAGTCACTAGATCTGGTGAAGAGGACTCGAGAACTCCAAGTTCAAGGTTAGTCTTGGCTACATAGTGAGTCCCATCCCAGATTGGGTTACACAGGAGAGACAGAAGAAAAGAAGACAGATGAAGACAGAATAGACAGAGAGACAAAGAGAGAACAGAGACAGAAGATACAGAGAGAGACAGACAGAGAAATGTAGAGAGAGACCCAGGGAGACAGACTCAGACAGAGGGAGATGGGGATGGACAAAGCGGGTGAGAGGGAAACGCTAAGCCCTCAGCCGCCTGCTTTCCATCATGCCCTTCTGTCCGTCTGTTTACTTAGTCACTAGATCTGGTGAAGAGGACTCGAGAACTCCAAGTTCAAGGTTAGTCTTGGCTACATAGTGAGTCCCATCCCAGATTGGGTTACACAGCGAGGCTCTCTCGTAAAAACCCAAAGAAACAATAAATAAAGCCAAACCAAAACACTCCCTCCCAAACAAAACAAAAATAAAAAGCCAGAATGGTTCAGAACTATCTCCACGCACATTACTTGACAATCTCTGGAGGGGATGCAACACGGACTTTAATTTTTTTCAAGGAGATTTTATTAAAAAGACAAAAACCTGACTTTTGAGCATTACTATCGATAGACTTGCCAACAACCAATATGAGGCAAGTTTTGAAGCCCCTGTTTAATTTACTGTCTATCGATGTTTAAGATCCCAGAGACAAAATTTCATATCTGTAGCATTAATTTTCTTCATTTTTTTTCTGGGGAGTCAGAGTTAATTTAGAAACCCAATGCTATCTTTGGGTACCAAGAGAATTTCTCAAAGTGAAAATTGCTGCATTTTTTCTTCCACTCCATGAATAGATGACAATATTGTGAGGAGGAATACATTTTCTTCTGAAAGATGAGCTATTTGATGACTATGGGCTGTTATCTTTGATACAGAAATCAGTGCTTTGATTTATTGTCATTAGACTCTCCTTGTTCTGTCAAGCCAGGAGCAATCAAAGGCAGGGTGCACCTGGATGGTGCTATTTTTCCTGTAGCCACTTGGTAATTTCCCACAAGAATTGGAATTACTGTTTCATAGGCTGGTGTTGTCTCTGCCCTGTAGCCCAGAAGACTCACAGAGCAGGAGTAGAGGAGGAAATCTGGAAGCTTTCCTCAAACTACCTGGGACCTGGGATGCTGAGCCCTGGGGGTGGGGTGAGATGCTGTACTTTCCTGCATCTTATGATGTCCCCACTTTGAGATGCAAGCAGACCTTAATTCAGCCCTGTGGCTTTGTACACCCTTCTCCAGAGAGAAGGCAGCAGCAGGACAGTTCTTCAGGCTAGAATACATACATAGGTTCATTGACTCGGCCCCGTGTGCAAACATATTTGTTGAACATACAAGGCACTCCCAGTATTGTGTAGATACTGGGAACACAGCCTGTGCCTCCTGGGGCTTTGATCTACTGGGGAGCCCCTTAGGATTATGGGTGCAGCTTTGTTTACCCTTACCTTACACTCCCTAGATCCTATAGTGTGGCAGGAATCTGAGGGCCTCATGGGCACACTATGCTCCCTGACTTAGATGACATGCTTGACTTCCCTTGGGTTCTTGGCCTATATTTTTCCTCTGGCCTCCTTCCTTCTCCATTCATGGTGTTAGGGACTCTGCTGGATAGCTTTGGTGTCAACTTGACTCACCTGGGTTGAGGGACCCTCAATTGGGGAATTGCCTTCATTGGACTGGCCTGTGGCCACATCCATGGGGCATCTTCTTGATTGTTGAGTCGTGGGAGGGCCCAGCCCACTGTGGGTGGTGCCACCCCTGGGCATGTGGGCCTGTGTTGTATAAGTAAGCAGGCTGAGCAGGGGTCAGGAGAGCAAGCCTCCATAGCCTGTGCTCCAGCTCCTGCCTCAGGTTCCTGCCCTGAGTTCCTACCTTGGGCACCCGGATGAACTGTGACCCAGGAGATATAAGATAAATAAACCTTTCCTCCCCAAGTTGGTAGTGGTCAAAGTGTTTTGTCACAGCAATGAAGAAACAAACTAGGATGGGGACTAAAGTTTTCCTTTCTGGACTAGTTGCATCTGCAGACACAACCACTGAGGGAATCTGAGAGGCAGCAGTGCTGGAATTCGGGGATGTGGACTTACTTAGAGACCATGTCAGCAGAGAATGCTCTGTTTTTTCCCACTTAGGTTGTAAACTAGAGATCAATACATTTATCAAGTTTTTGCAAAGAGCTTCCAATTCACTTTTTAAAAGGATTTCATTAACTAATTAATTAATTTATATGTGCGTGCTTGAATGCATGACTGTGATGGGCAAGTGTGTGTGTGTGTGTGTGTGTGTGTGTGTGTGTGTGTGTGTGTGTGTGCTCCTACAGAGGCCAGAAGAGGGCATCAGACCCCTCAAAGCTATAGTTGCATGGGTGCTGGAATCAGAACTTGAGTCCTCACGACTGCACAGCAAGCACTCTTAACTGTCGAGCCATCTCTCCAGTCCTGTAACCATCTTGGGCTGTGGTTGGGGTAGCTTGGTTGTGGATGGCTCTTTTAGGCAAATTCAAGCTGCTCTGACCTTTCCCCTCAAAGCACGCCCTGTAGCTATTTCCCAAACCAAGTTTATGGAAATGTTCCATCAGTGGGCAGCATCTCTGGGGCATTGGAACTGAGGTGGGCAGGGGCAAGGATTGGATCTTGGCTACCGGAGTGAAGTTGAGGGAACCAGGCAGCTCACAACCAATGGGGGCTCTCTCAACTAACCAGCACTCTGTGAAGTAGGTGGGGACACCCTTTCTGCAAGTTCCTTCACCTTCTCCTTGATGCCAAAGCCACTCCTCTGGGAGAACAGCATGCGTTTCTGTGTTGCGTTTAGTGCAACGTAAAAGGCTTGGGCGGGAAAAGTTCTCTTTGCTTCTCAATCAGTTCTGTGGCCCGCCCCGGTAACAATACCATTCAGAAATGACAGGTCTAATTCTGTTTTGTCTCATATAAAAATCATTTATAAAAATTGTTTATTTCTATCTATGTTGCAACAAGTGAAATTAATGCTCAAGTCAGAGGTTCTTAATACTTGTAAGGGGAACTTGAAATTGCTGGGTGTGTGCTTTCTCAAGGTACTCCTGCTTCAAGTACGTGGAGTGAAGACTATGGATTGACAAGAGCTGGGGAAATGGCTTAGTCAGTGAAGTTCTTGCTGCCCGAGGATAAGGACTTGAATTTGACCCCCCAGGACTCACATAAAAAGCTGGATATGACTGGCAGTGTGTGCCTGTAATCCTACCGCTGGGGAAGCAGAGACAAACAAATTCCTGGGGCTGGCCAGAGAGTCCAGCCCAGTCAATGAGCTCCAGGTTCAGTGAGAGACTGTCTCAAAAATAAGGTGGGTAAAGACTGAGGGAGACACTGGTCATCAAGTTCTGGCCCCCATATGCCCACATTCACATTCACACACACACACACATACACACACACACGCACGCACGCACGCACGCACGCACGCATGCACGTGCATATGAATGTGGATTGGTATTAAAGAGGCGAGGCCTAAGATACATGTTGACATGCAGTGTTTCTCTGACCTCACTCAGCACTGGGACTTTTGGTTGGAGCCTACTGTTTTGCTGTCCCCGTTGGGGACCATAGCTGATTTTGGAGGAGGACAACTGACTGGGCTCTTACCTGGCAATCTTGTCTGTGCAGGACATGGTGACTAGCTGCTCCCCCAGCAGGATGCCGTCCCATGTCTGGACTGCACTGGGGCCCCGGACGGGGACTGTCCCCTCCCCAGATTCAATCTTGGTGCGCAGATGTCCTCTGAACTTCCTGACGATGTGTTTGGTGCTGTTCACTAGAAGAGAAGAAGTCGTGGTGAGAGGTGGCAGGGACACTTTTCCAGAGATGGAAGGGTTTGTGGAGGAGGAGGAAGGAAATGTGGCAGAGACTGAGGCTAAGTGCCTTGGCAGGGACTGGGCACAGGGGGCAGATTTGGTGAAAGCCAGGGGAGGCAACCTCATTTCACCAGTGGCATGGTTAAGAGCTGGACTCTAGATCTTAGCTTACTGTTGGCCAACTGTCTTGTGACAGGCAGAGAGCCAACACCTCAGAGACTTTATGGGGCCTCACTAGCTCTGTTTACTCCTGCCACTGAGGCACAAAAGCAGCATTGGGTGATATGCAACAAACGAGGCTAACACTTGATTTATAGATGTCAAAATTAGATTGGATAGTTTTTATGAATTGTGAAGTATAGTCAGCCCCACCACACCTACAGGTTCAGCCAACCAAGGCTCAAAAATATTTGGTTAAAAAATAAGTTCGTCTTTGACACATATCCACCTACATACACTACACTGCATAACCCACAGTTATTTGGTTGAACTAGTATGAAGAAGAGCACCTTACATTTATCTTAAAAAAAATCTGTATATTAAGTCTGGACCACACTGTACTAGAGAAATGGCTAACTGCTTTGCATATAAATTATATGTACAGCAACATGAATGATTATGAAGTGCTTTGAATGAAAATGTCCCCCATAGGCTCCAAGTATTTGGACATTTTGTCCCCAGATGATGGCGCTGTTTTAGGAGGTCTTAGGTGTGGCCATGCTGGAGGAAGCACATTACTGAGGGTGGGCTTACAGAGTTCTTAAGCCTTGCGGGGTACTGAGTCTCTTGAGTCGCTCTCTTGCTTCCTGTGCCTGCTTGAATATATGAGAGCTCAGCTTCTGCTCCTCCTCCAGACACCTCTACCACCATGCCTCCCAGCCATGATGGACTGACTTTGGAACCGTAAGCTAAATAAACTCTTCCTTTTATAAGTTCCCTTGGTCATGGTACTTTAGTACCAGAGGTTATCTTTGGGGATGAGAGGCGTCTTCAGAGCTTGGAGACTGTAACTTTTGAGGGGTTCCAGACAGTTTTTTCACTCAAGTAGATACTTGATGAGCTTGTCCTTGTGCCATCCACGGAAGGAAGAACCAAGGTGAGAAATGGAGCTTGGATGCATGCAGTAAGCAAATCTATCTCTCTCCAGGTGGAGTGAGACTCTCTCCACATAGCCTTACGCGGTACTGGAAACTGGATGATGCTGAGATGGTACTGAAATTGATGGTGACCTGAAGGTATTAATGGTGATGGTAGGGGTGATGTGGTGATGGGGGTGATGGTTGTGGACATGGTAGTAGTGATGATAATGGTGAAGATCGTAATGATGATGGTGGAGACGGTGATGGGGCTGGCGGTGATGACTATTATGATGGAAAAGAGTGATGATGACAACGTTGAACATAATAACACAGATCACGTGACTAAAATACTTGAGGAAATGCATTTAAAGGTGAATTTTTACAGAATTCAGATGGGGTCTTTCTAATATTAACTTTCTGGGGCAGATAGCATTGGGAGTAGAAGAGCCAGCACTCCTCACGGCATCTCTAATGCTGCTAAGGTAGGGGACCTCACTCTCCCAGTGGGGAGGTAGAGTCTCAGGGACTGTGATGCTTGCTGCCTCTCTAGTTTTGTCAACGATGTTTGTCCTCTCAACATGCCAGCTGTTGTATCACTCTCCAGATCTTGAAATTTGACAATTATACTTTAAAAGCTTTCTAAATTCTTACCATCATTTAAAGTCAAGAGATAAGGAGGCCTGGCATGCAAAATTTCCTAGGAGTTGCTGCAAAGTTTTAGGCTGGATTAATTTCACCTCAAGAGCCAGGTGTGGGAGACACTCTTGAGAGAGTTTACTCCTGCCTTCTCTCCCATGCTCCCTGATGAGCCTGCTCAGTTTCAGGCTGAGTTGGAGAGCTGGGGAACTCCTACAAACCACTTCCTCTGGCGGTTTCTTGGCTAATTGCGAGAGGCAGAAGGGAGCTGAAGATTGCCTCTTCAGTATAACGAAATGCCAACTCAACCAGCAGCTGCAGAAGATTGACTTTAAATAATCTGCAGTGGATTATTGTGTCACGGAGACATGGAATGTTAAAAGTCCTGTCCATAAGTAGTCCTGAGTCTGTCAGAACGCTCTAGCCTAATTCTGATAATCCAGATCATCAGACTCATCACTACTATTTTTTAAACACTTTATTGAGTTTTTGTGCATTTCATATAAAGGATCTTAATCAAATTTAGAACCCCTCCCCCAACCTCATAGCTGCTCCCCCCACTGGATTATATGCATTCTGTCATATATGTTAAATTCTAGCCAGTCAAGCTTTTTTTTTTTTTTTTTGGTCTTTTTGAAACAGGGTCTCCCTGTAGCCCCAGCTGGCCTGGAACTCACTATGTAGACCAGGCTGGCCTTGAACTCACAGAGATCTACCTGCTTCTGCCTCCCAAGTGTTGAGACTACAGGTATGGGCCACCACGCCCGGCTTATCCAGTCAAGCATTTGTACCCTAATGTCCCTCAGTGCAAGTTCATCCATTGGAATCTAATCAGTCTATCTAGAGTCACTCCCTTAAAGAAGTAGAACAGTAGGCAGAGAATACTAATTCATCCCTCAACTCTCACCAGTGAAGCTTCCTCACACAACAGAGTATAATGCACACAAAAGGCCACAACTGGTCAAGTTCTAGAGAACAAGAGATTGCAGAGTGTGCTCCTTTATAGGATTCCTGTATTAACCCTCACCCACCCACGGCTTAGGGACCAGTGTGGAAGACTGGGCAGAAAGATTGTAACAGCCAGGGTCGGTGCACGAACATAAGGAAACAGAGCCTTTCAGGTCACTGGGAACTTGCTCATATGAACTTGCAGCAATGGTGACAGCATGCACAAGACCCATGCTGACTCAATCGGACAGAAGCCCAGCATAGAATGAGGAAAGTGGGTGTCAGGTCCCAACACTAGCCAAGGAACTACTGGCAACTGATTACTGTCGGGTGAGGGAGATTAGATCATTCCTATGCTTATTGATTTAAAATTCTTATGTTTTTAGATTGACAGTAAGGTAAATTAAAGTAGTGGTATCCTTTAGGAAACTGTTCAAGTGGTTATTTAATTTATAGGGGAGACTCAAAAGATACTGAAACATATCAATTAAATAGATCAGCCATATAAGAGGCTGAAGATTTATCTAAAAAGCTGTTCATGGTCACCACAATGCCACAACAAGGAGAGAGAGAGAGAGAGAGAGAGAGAGAGAGAGAGAGAGAGAGTAAAAACCAGAAACAAAACAAAACAAACCTAAACCCCTACAAGATATTAGAAAGAAAGTATTTTTAAGCAGTAAATTAAAAAATTTTCTGGGTGTGGTGGTACGTGTCTTCAATCCCAGCCCTTGGGAGGCAGAGGCAGATAGATTTCTGTGAGATCGAGCCAGCCTGGTCTACAAAGGAAGGTGGGGCCATAGAGAAACCCTGTTTCAAAAACAAATAAACAAACAAAAACTGAACAAACAAAACCAACCAACCAAAAATTTTTATTCAAGCTGTCTTCAATTAGCATATCCTAGAATGTATATCTGTGGAACAGCCCACTTTAATATAATAATAAAATCTACAGTATTTGCCATGAGGTTACACAGGTGATCTTTGCATTATTTTGTGATAAAATATCATGAGGCTATTAAAATTTATTACTCTATAGTACATGACAATGATCCTAAGTAACCTGTTTCTTTAACTGAACAGAAATCTGAAGACAGGCATTTAAGGAATGATGCTTAAACTCCCTGATGTGTTACAGGATTTGGGCTAAAGGTTTTTTTTTTTTTTTTTTTTGGGTCTATTTTGAGACAGGGTTTCCCTGTAGCCCCAGCTGGCTTGGTACTCATTACTTAGACCAGGCTGGTCTCGAACTCACAGAGATCTGCCTGCCTCTGCCTCTTGGCTCAGTTTCTTGACCTACCTACTAAAGCAATGAATGTTACAGGTTCAGAATGAATGCACTAGACACTTAGCATAAATTTGTATACATATGTGATATAATCCTGTTCTTTTTACAGCATCTTGTGGAATACATGTTACAGTATTTAATATGCTAAATTCTTGGAAAAGGTTAGGAAGTACTGAATTTATCAGATTAGTTAATAGTCATATTAGAAAAGAGGGATTTGTAAAGAGGCCGCTAGCGATTTGAGAGGAAGACAGAAGTTGCTCAGCCACGGTGAGGTACCTAGATCCTTACAGTATTCTCTTACATTTAGGATCTCTTACAAAACTTACTATGGGGCTGGAGAGATGGCTCAGCAGTTAAGAACACTGGTTGTTCTTGCGGAAGACCTGGGTTCGAATCCCAGCACCCACAGGGCAGCTAACAATTGTCAGTAACTCCAGTTCCAGGGGATCCGACAGCCTCTTCTGTCCTCTGTGGGCATTGCACAACACGGGCGCACTTACTGATACACAGGCAATACACGCATACACATAAAATAAAATATAAAAAAACCTTTACTATTATTTTAAAATTTTCTTCCAGGGATGTGTTATGTGTTGGGTGTGCTCCCTTGGCCCCATTCCTGCCTATTCTTTTCTTGTGCCTCCTTTGTTTCCCTAAACAAGCTTACTTCTTTCATTTCATGTGTATATACATGATTTTATGTGTCTATCTCCGATTCAGAAACCAGAAATGAGAGAAAGCATGCAGAAAAATGAAAGTATCTCTCATCCTGCATAAAAATTTTCTCCAAATGGATCAAAAGCCTTCTCCAAATGGATAAGACCCGAAACTCTGAAACTGTTAGAAGAAAAAGTAGGGTAAAATACTTCAAGATACAGACATAGGCAAGGACTTTCTGAATAGAACCCCAGTTGCTCACCAGCTATACATCTGACAAATGATCACTATCTAGAATATACAAATAACTGAAAAAAATCTGAATAATAAGAAAACATTTAGGATCTTAGCA